AAAACTATAAAAGGAATGGATTACAGATGAGTACTATAACATGGTTGAATCTTGAAAATATTACTAAAGAAAACTGCCACAAAAGGATAAATGTTATGATTCCATTCATATGAACTATTGGAATAAGGAATATTGGAATATTTAGACATAGAAAGGCAATCAGTGGTTGAATAAAACTAGTGGGAGAAGTGTGGGGATAAAGATGAAGACTGATTGCAAACACGTTCAGGGATTCTGGAGGTGACAAAGATGACTGTGTCCACACAGCACTACAAATGTATAACTCTCTGGATATGCCAAAAACCAAAACCATATCATCTAGGGCTTTAGCTCAGTGGTGCTGTGCCTGCCTCACAAGCACAAGATCCTGAGTTTGATCCTTGGTATGGGCAGGGGGCAGATCATACCATCTAAATTGGAGAATTATATGGTAAATGAATTGCATTTCAATAAAATTGTTCTTTAAAAAAAGAAGAGCCAGGCATGGTGGCGCACCCCTGTAATCCCAGCACTTGGGAGGCTGAGGCAGGAGGATTGTCCTAAGTTTGAGGCCAGCCTAGAATACATAGTGAGTTCAAGGCCAGCCTGAACTACACAGCAAAACCTTGTCTCAACTCCCCCACACACAAAAAGAGCACATTCAAGTATAAATTATTAAACGGATAAAACACCATTTATTCCCTTAAAGAAAATCACTTCCACGACAAAGAACACCTGAGAAATTTCATGAATACCAAACCAGCACTCCAAGGAATTCTAAACAATATCCTAGAAAAGGACAATGAAGGTCACAATACCATGAGGCCCAACAGACCAAATCAAATAGGCAAGGCAAGAAACTAAAAGGAGACGGGAGAAAAAGTTTAAAGAGTCAACAAAAGGACAATAACATGACAATAATAAGTCAGAATATATCAGTTATAACCATCAATGTTAATGGCCTCAATTCACCAATCAAGAGAAACAGACTGGCAGAATGGATTAAGAAGCAAAATCCAACAATATGTTGTATACAAGAAACACACCTAGTGCAAAAGGAAGCCCATAGACTGAAAGTGAAAGGATGGAAAACAATTCTCCATGCATCAGGAGCCCAGAAAAAAGCAGGGGTAGCAATCTTATTCTCAGATAAAGTAAATTTCAAACCAAAACTCATTAAGAGAGACAAAGAAGGACACTACATCCTTGTAAAGGGAACAATTCAAGAGGAAGAGTTGACAATCATAAACATATATGCACCAAATATAAATGCCCCCAACTATATAAAGCAAATATTAAGTAATATGAAAAACCAAATAAGCAATAATACAATTTTAGTGAGGGATTTAAATACCACACTATCACAAATTGACAGATCATCTAGGCAGAAAATCATCAATGAAATAATAGAACTTAACCAAGCTTTGGAACACATGGACTTAAGAGATGTTTACAGAGTATTCCACCCCACAAAATCAGAATATACATTCTTTTTGGCTGCACATGGATCATTTTCCAAGATAGACCACATATTGGCTCACAGAACAGGTCTGAATAAATGCAAAAGAATTTAAATTATCCCCTGTATATTATCAGATCATAGTGCAATCAAGCTGGAGATCAATAGCACAAGAAACTGTAAGAACTTCACAAGCACATGGAAACTGAACAACACTCTCCTAAACAATCAATGGATTACAGAGGAAATTAAAGAAGAAATTAGATGGTTTTTACAAATAAATGAAAATGCCAATACAACATACAGGAATCTATGGGACACAATGAAAGCAGTTCTACGCGGAAAATTCATAACATTGAATGTCCACATTAGGAAAACAGAGCGGGCTCAAATAAACAACCTAATGATGAAACTTAGACTCCTAGAAAAACAAGAACAAGAAAAACTCAAAGCTCGAACAAGAGAGGAAATTATAAAGATCTGAGCAGAAATCAATGCAATAGAAACTAAGAAAACGATACAAAAAATAAAGGAAACAAAGAGCTGGTTTTTTGAAAGAATAAATAAAATCAACAAACCCTTAGCTAATCTTATCAAAAAAAGGAAA